GTCTTAAAGAAGGGCAGGCAGTGATCTGCCGATTTGGACATGAAGCGGCTCAGAGCGGCTATTCTGTCATTCAACCTCTGAACCTCCTTCACTTTCCGAGGTGGTCTCATATCTAAGATGGCCTTTATTTTGTCCGGGTTGGCCTCAATGCCGCGCTGGTTCACAATGTACCCCAGGAATTTACCCGAGGTGACTCCAAAGACACACTTATTCGGGTTCAACTTCATATTGAATTTACGCAGAATTTCAAAAACTAAGTTCAAGTCTTGTATTAAGTCACAAGAAAGCTGGGTTTTGACGACCATGTCGTCTACATAACATTGCACCTTTTGGCCAATCAACAGCTCATACAGTTTATTTACAAGTCTTAGGAAGGTTGCCCCGACATTTTTTAATCCAAAGGGCATGACCTTGTAACAGTACAGGCCGAGCTCGGTTATGAAGGAAGTTTTCTCTTCATCGGCTGGGTCCATCCTGGTCTGATTGTAGCCCGAGTAGGCGTCTAGAAAGCTTAGCAACTCATGCCCCGAGGTCGCATCCACTAGGCAGTCAATCCTGGGGAGTGGGAAGTAGTCCTTTGGGCAAGCTCGGTTCAGGTCGGTGTAGTCGACGCACATGCACCATTTTTCGTTAGCCTTTTTCACCAGAACGAGGTTGGCCACCCAGCTCGGGTAATGGACTTCCCTAATAAAATTGGATGCAAGGAGCTTCCCAACCTCCTCGTCGACTGGCCTCCACCGCTTTGGGGCTAGGTTGCGTTTCTTCTGTCTAACGGGCCTAACTATAGGATCAATATTAAGCTTATGAGTTATGATGCTAGGGTCTTTGCTGGGCATTTCTGTCGCGGACCAAGCAAAAAGATTTAAATTCTTAAGTAAAAAGCATACTAGTTCGGATCGTAGGGGCTCCTCGATGGAAGCACCGATCTGAAGCGTTCGGGCAGGGTCCTCTGCCGAGGCTGGGATAGAGACGGTCTCCTCCGTGGGCGCAGCTCGCTCCTCGCTCTACTCCGTAGGTCACTCCAGCTCGAGGTCGTCAGCCACCTTGGCTTTTCCCTTGAGGGCGGCAACATAGCATTTGCGAGACTAAAGCTGGTCACCTCGCGCTACCCCGATGCCGAAGTCCGTGGGGAACTTCATGACCAAGTAGTAGGTGGACACCACAGCCCGTAAAACATGGGTAATCGGCCGACCCACTATGGCGTTGTACGGGGAGGGGGTTGCGACCACCAAGAAGTTGTAGTTGAGCCTCACAATGCTAGGCCAGGTGCTGACTTCCATAGGTACTGTCACCCTTCCTAGGGGCCGAACTTCCTCTCCCTTGAAGCCCACTAGGGGAGTGTTCACAGGCTTTAGGTCGCTCTCCTGAAACTGGAGTTTGTCGAAGGCCGCTTTGAAGAGGATGTCTGCCGAGCTACCTGAATCGACGAGGACTCTCTTGACTTCGAAGTCATTGATCTTCACCTTTATGACGAGCGCGTCGTCATGGGGGTAGTGAACCCCGTATGTATCATCCTCTGTGAAGAAGATGGGGTCTTCTATCCTTGGCCGTTTCGAAAGGTTCTGCCCTTTCCTGTTGGTCTCGTGAGATGACGCGCGAGCTGCTGCTGAGGTGCAGCCCGCCACGATCGAACCTCCGACTATAACATGGATGATCCCCCGAATTGGTCTCTCCTCGGGGGGCTGCTTCTACGGTTGCTCCGCTTGCCTGCTGGACTCGGGGGTGTCTCTACCTTGCTCCCCTTGTCGACCTGAGCATACCTCATCTTTTCCTTTGAGCTCGAGAGAGGCTCCGGAAGCAGTTCGGCGAACTCATCGGCGTCTTCGCTGCTGCTTTGCTGGCTCAGCGTTGGTGCTTCACGCTTCGGTGTCACCGAGCTCGATAGGCTCGGACCACTAGTGTCGACTCTGGACCGAAGGGCCTTGTCTGTAGTCCGCGGCCAGGACCTCGAACGGATTCTCCGCGAGCGGGAGCTTGAACTGCGAAGGCTGTGGTGACACAGGCTTTGTTGGCTGTGAGGCCCTTGACTCGCCTACAGGCTGTGAGGCGGGGGTGGCCGACCTCTCCTTCTTGCTACGAGAAGGGGCTTGGCTCTTGGCTGGATCCTAGATCTAGGAGGCTTCTCCCCGACAAGGCTGCTCACTCCGGCGGGAGGGCTTGGTCTGCTTCGTGGCCGGATGCCGAGGGGGAAGTGATGGCTGGGCCTGAGGCAGAGAGGGAAACTGCTGCTGGTACTGGTATTGGGAAACCTGGTGCATCACTTGTTGTTGGTAGAGTTGGAATTGTTGAAACTGTTGCATTTGAGCCTGCATGACCCGCATGCATTGCACCAAGTCCTCCAGTTGGTTTGGGTTGGCCGTTGGGGGCACAACCGAGGGTTCAACAAAGGTTGCTCCTACTGTAGAAGGGAGCGGAGCAACGACGGGTGCCACTATAAGAGGCACGTTCAGACTGGGAACTCCGTCCGCGGAGAGGGGGACGGTAAACTGTCCAATGCAGACAGTAGGAAGCTGGGGCTGCTCCCCAGAAGCGTTCTGGTTGGTGCCATGTCCGACATTGCTGGAAGAAGCCATGAAGAATGCTAAGTTTTTGGAAGAAGGAGCTGTAAAAGCTTGGAGGAAGGCTTTTAGAAGCGTTTCCCACAGACGACGCCTAATGATGTGGCATGATCCGGGCACTCCTAGCTAGCTGCTGACTGGCTCCTTGTTGGCAATAGACGGCACCTAAGAAGACGAAGAAGAAGGATTCTCGGGGATTTGCCCGGCAGGAATACTCCGAAGCTTAAGTTAGAACGCTGGGGAGGAAGGAAAGAGTATAAAAAGCTAAGAGTGTAAGTCGCGCTAGATCACTGTGTTCGCGAGGTTAACTCGTGAATAGGTAAGATAATTCAAGTTCAGATAAAATCCGAGAGTGCGAGAGTGTATGAGTCTCTCCTTCTCCCCTTCGCCTAAAAGGCTTTTATAGGGGCGCTCTTGTCAAATCTGGCGTAACTGCCACTGGGCTCCTGTCGCAGCCGTTACCTGCCAGGTCTACGCAGGTGATCATTATAGTGTACTATTCACTTGGATGAGTGACACGTCCCAAAGGGGCAGGCGCGCCTCCATCTGTCGAGAGACGTGGGTGCAGACTGTCGAAGGGACAAGGGCTGCGCCGTCAGTCGGGAGACGTGGCGCAGTCTGACCGGTACGGTTTTGTCAGAGATAAGCTTCCTGAGAATGTCGCGTTGCTCAGTCGCAAGCTACTCCGTAGCGAGCTATTCTTGCCGCAAGCTACTTTGTAGCGAGCTCAGGGGTGCTTCGAGGTGATCCTCATCTAAGTTGATCTTTGGGGCAGTTCTTCTGCCTAAGTGCTGGAGTGAGCTGGTTTTCCTAGCTCGCGAGCTGGAATAGTCTTGGAGTATTCCCTTCTCAATAGCTCGGGGGATCTGGAGCTCGCGTTCCCTATAGCGGGTTATGACGTAGCGAGCTGTTCTACAGGCTCGTTATTTAGTCGCGGTCAAGCTATGGTGCTGAGCTGCTACTCGTGCTGAGTCAGGTCCACGTGTCATTATCTCAGTAGGTCGGGTCAAATCATTCTCCATCAAATTTTAAAAAACAGCTTTCAACGACTAAACAATTACACATACATGTCGTATGATCTTTTGCCCCTTTTTCATATACTTACACATAACAGTTTGCTGTTTACAGAGCTATACAATAACAGTTTACAGAGCTATAGAGAGAGAAAAAAAAAGAGAACAAAAGAATAATATAAATATACAAGAACAAGTATAGAAAGCATCACCTAATTACAAAGAGCATCACCGATAGGGACGCCAATTTTTCTCATTTCCCCCTGTCCCGAATGGGGCAGGGATGGGAGAGCACTTCCGGTTCCGTAGGGATCTCGATCCCCGTCCTGTAAGATCCCCACTAATATATATGTATATATGTATGTATGTATACATGCATTTATATATTCATATTTTAAAAAATATGATTGAATATGCTTGGATTTTCTCTATTAGGATTATAAATTTTAATTATTTTTTCTAATAAAATAAAAAACAAGACTAACATTATAAAAAATCACCGGGAATGGGAATCCCGTGGAAACGAGGATGGAGATAAACTTGTCGGCATTAACGGGGACAGGGGACAGGGAGAGGGCCCCGCCCCATTGCCATTCCTAATCACTGACTCACTGTCGTCTCTCACCGCCTCGTTGGAGTATCCTGTTGCCACTGGTGAGTGGTGCCAGACCGTAGAGAAGAGTTAGAACTCAGAAGACCAAAACTCAAAAAGTGAAAGGGAAGTGACATGTCGAGGGTTTTGGGTTTTGGCCTGATGGCCAATATTATTATTAATTTACCCTTAACCGAACCTCTAAATATCAGAACCGGAACAGAAACCCAATATTAATAAAACTGTACTTAAAAACTGAACCAAATCATTTAATCTGAACTAACCCAACTGACCAAACTAAAACCAAAATTTCAGTTCGACCATTCGATTTCAACGAAACTATGCTCATCCCTAACAGTTTGTAGCATTGCAATACACGGGAAGCCCTCAAACCACGTTTGGGGAAAAACGGGACAACCCACGTTCATGAGCATAAATCAACTTTACATGTACAATGTAGCTTCTAGGAAGTTGTTTAGTCAATGCAGTACAAGGAATCAATGTTTTAAAATCGATCTTGAATTAAAATCACTTTGGCCACTGATTTTTGGGTCTAGGGTTTGATTGTATGATTTTGAAAATTGGACCGGACTGAATGGTTGGATTGATTGGTCTAGGAATTGATTAGGTAACCGATTTCGTTTCATCCTAAAATTGCATTTTGGTCAAAGACCATTGCCAGATTGTAGATTGGGACCCACTTAAAATGACACAAATACTAGATTGTGATGTAGGGTGCATTTAGCTAAAGAAAAGAAGAAGTACGATAGCGAACATAAAACCTGCACCACCCAAACAGCAGGCAAACATGTTTTTGTTTTTTCTGTGGACTGTGAGACTGGGAGTGGGAGTACTTTTCTCTACCTCACAGAGTCACAGGCTCACGTTAGGTTTCAGATAAGAGAGAGATTTGGGGCTTTAACCCAGGACGAGGTTAGTGGTTGAGTTATGAGTTTTATCCCTAGATCTGGTTGGTTGCTTGAATGGTAACTTTGAAAAGATAGGAATTTTTTTTTTTGGTTTTAGGGTTTCGTCTAAAGATCGAAGGTTCACAAACCGGAATTGAAGCGACAAGGGGTGGGCCGGTTGAATAAGGGGAATTAAATCTGGAATTCGGTCACAGATCCGTGAAGATATGAGCTTTTGGTTGGGTTGATATCGGAAGAGCTGCTAAGGGATCAGGAGACGGATGAAGTGGGTGAAATCAAGGTGATTTTCCTTCATTTGATCTTAAATATTTTTAATTTCGTAATATATATTTTGCAGCAGAATTGACCTGAAGAGAATGGAAGTTTGAGATGAAGCAAGAGATCTGATCATTCCGGTCGTGATTTTGTCTATATTTTGGTTGTCTGATTATTGAAGGTGTTGTTGGAGAGATTGGCAGATCTGAGCGGGAAAAATGGCTAGGAGTTCTGAAAATTGTTAAAACTTCAGCTGAAATCTTGAGCCTGAGTTCGATAGACGTGTGGTAGAAGAGAGATGGGAGACAAGTTCTGGGGCAGTGAAGAAGAAAAGGCCATTGCTGAAGCTGTTTTGGGTGCTGAAGCCTGTCAGTTCCTGACTTTGCCGGCTCCACGACATGTTTCGCAAGATTTGGTTTTGCCGGCTGTTGAGGGGGGTATGCAGCGGCAGCTCAGCCAGCTTGTTGAAGGTTTAGGTTGGACTTATGCCATTTTCTGGCGGGCATCGAGGTCCAAATCCGGTGAAATGACGTTAGTTTGGGGAGATGGGCACTGCAGAGAACCAAAGGGAGGGGAAAGAGAAGGAGGAAGGGAGGGAAAGGGATCTTATGGAGATTTTGAATCGCACAAAAGGGTTGGGGGAGAGCAGGAGCAGGAGATGAGGAAGCGGGTGCTTCAGAAACTTCATGCGTTCTTCGGAGGATCGGAGGATGATAACTATGCTGTACGCTTGGATTCTGTCTCGGACGTGGAGATGTTCTATCTCACCTCCATGTATTACTCTTTTCCATACGATTCACAGGCTGCTCCTGCTCGGTCATTTGCGTCCAGTAGATCAATTTGGGCTTCGGATGCAAAGAGTTGTTCAGACAATTACCACTCTAGGTCATTCCTAGCAAGATCAGTTGGCTTCCGGACTATGGTATGTGTCCCAATTGAGTCAGGAGTGGTGGAGCTTGGTTCTGTTAAATCATTCCCAGAAGATCATAATGTTTTGCAGAGGATCAAAAATGTATTTGGAGGTTCCCGCTCTGTTCAAGCCACTGTGACTCCTAAGATCTTTGGACAGGATCTCAATCTTGGTGGCACGAAATCCCGCTCGGTTAATATAAGCTTCTCCCCAAAGGTGGAAGAAGATGAAGGTCTTCCCTCAGAATCTTACAAGGTACAGGCAACGGTCTCCAGACCTGGTAATACCTTGGTTTTGAATGCAGAAACAAGTTCTAATAGAACCTTTGGAACATTTTCTAATGGCTGTGGAAGTGAGGGGAACGAAGTGAAACTGTTCCCGCAGACAAGCCAGATGGTCATGGGGGGCTTAACTCCTCAATCCAGAGTTTCAGGCTTGGAAGAGATTAAGGATGACCCATTACCTCGCCCTGATGAGAGGAGACCTAGAAAAAGAGGTAGAAAACCTGCGAATGGGAGAGAGGAGCCACTGAACCATGTGGAAGCAGAGCGGCAGAGACGTGAGAAGCTTAATCAGCGGTTCTATGCACTAAGAGCTGTTGTTCCAAATATCTCAAAGATGGACAAGGCATCATTGCTTGGAGATGCCATTACCTATATCACTGATCTTCAGATGAAGATCAGGGTCTTAGAAACTGAAAGGGAGATGGTGGATGGTAACCAAAATCCATCAATCATCCCAGAGATTGATGTTCAGACCAGGCACGAGGATACAGTTGTACGTGTTAGCTGTCCCTTGGATGCTCACCCAGTTTCTGGAGTCATAAAAGCATTTAGGGAAACTCAAGTTATGGTTCAGGATTCGAAAGTTTCCACCACAGATGATGGATCGGTTCTTCACACGTTTTCCATTAGGACCCAAAATGGTGCCAGTGAACATTTGAAGGAGAAGCTTGTTGCTGCCCTTTCAAGATGACCACACTGTAAATTTGTACTTGTACGATGAGCTTGATGCAATCTCCTTTACTTCTATGAGCAATTTATAGGAAAACTACCATACCTGATAGCTGTATAACTAATGGTTGTACTACTTCTGTACCACAAATCTTTGTTGTCCAGCTTTAGATCAAGATTTGCAAGCCCTTGCTATAGAGTATTGAAATCAATGGACATGTATGGTTAATTGGTTATCTTCTTTTTTTCTTAAGATGATACATGATACTTTTATGTATGACATATTCTTGTATTAAGCATCTTATGTTTCTTAGGATAATGGTAAACTGAGCATTGAGCATTAAGCATCTTCTTGTCGTTTGGTTCAACACCTCCTTTCTTTCTGCCCACAGTGAAGGCAGTGTGTTTGGACTGTTGACTAGGGAACCTGGGCGAGGTGACTGGGGTTCCTAGTATCTGTGTTAATACTTTCTAGTTAAAAGATGTTTCCCTTTGATCACCAGACTTGGTAGTTTACAAAGCAAAATTGTTTTTTTTTTTTCTTTTTCTTTAATACGGCAGTTACAAGTTACAACAGTTCTTTACAAATTCAAACAGGCAGTCTTTCTCTTCTCCTTTTGCAATGTCCACACCTTCCGACAAGATGTAGGTTGCTTGACCGTAAATGACAGAAACACCAATTTGAGTGTTGATGCCATCTTGTGGCCCTGACACCAGTCACTGGGACAGCTGGTAGTTCCAAGGTGGGTCTGCCTTCTTCCCTTCATTCTGTTACATTTTAGTGTATTATTTGGTTGCCATATAGTACCTCTGCTTCGCATTATATGGTATGTAGTTTTAGCGTGTAACTCTAATAAGTGGAAAATGAAAAACGGTATTCTTCCTGGCAAAAGTTTTGCTTTACCATTGTAGCTTGAATATAGTTGAATGAAAGTTGACTGTAGTTTTTGTAACAAGATCTTGTAGGTAATTTTATCTTGGAAACAGCCTCTCTGTGAGTCTGTGTATCTGCTAGGGTAAGGCTGTGCACATCTGACCCTCCCCAGAACATTGGCAGGAACCTCGTGTACTGGGTTGCCCTTTTTTGTGCACTGACTTATTTCCTTAATGTTCAGGTTATTGCATCAAGCTGTTGTCATTGCCAGATACAAAATGGTTATATTTCCTGAAGAGTGTATGCGTAACTGGATCTTTTTTTTCTAATCATGCATTATAACTTGAAATGCTATAAATGTATTAGGAAAAGAGGTACAACAAACGTTTATGCCTGGTCGGTTTGCAGGTCTGATTTGAGTGCAAAGTATGAGAGTGCAAATTCTGTTTTGTTTTTGTTTGAGCTTTCAATCTTTTGCCATGTTTTATTTGTTTGCAGTACAGATGAAGTAAAATCTGAAGCAAAAGTGAACCAGAATTTATTCGTAAAAAAAAGGGTGAACCAGAATTTGCATTTTTCTCATTTGCACTCTCATGTATTTATGTTGGTGAAAATGAAACTGCACTACAAACAAACCGATAGAAGTGACAACTCCTTGCACTATCTATTTCATCAATTTCCCTGGGTGGCTGGGTCAAAAGGCATGCCCACTTTTTAACGTTATCCTCTCTTTACAGACTATCTTTATCTCATACACATGGTAGGGATCATGTCATCAGTTTGCTTGGGGTAATCTTGTGGAAATGTGGAGTGAGGATTGATCTCTCATTATAACGTGATTCACACTTTTGATGCACTAACGTGATTCACACTTTTAATGCACAAGACCTTTGGGTATTGTCTAATTTTCTTTATAACTAGTTCTAATACACCAAAGATGATGCTGGAAAAGAAAATATTGCTGAAAAATTGTCCCAAGAATGCCATACTCATTTTGTTTTTCTCACCGGTGAGACCAAGTATTGCAGTAGCATACACAGTACAGTAACATACCGACTCCCCAGCATCTCACTATCTCACAGTCTCTCTCTCAGAAATACAAAACCCCTCGCCTCCTCGGATCCCTACTCCCACTCCCACTCCCACTCCCCTTGTTCCCCCTCTCTGTTTCCGTTCCATTCTGCTCTATAACCAATCAGATCTGCTTCCTTTCTTTCACTCTACAGTCTTCATTCCCCCCCACCCCACTCGTGCTGAGCAAGGGTAGAGCCAGGGGAGCCATGGCCCCCCTATGGTCCAGAAATCCCCTACTAGTAGTACGGTTTGTCATGTAAATTTCTCTCCTCTCCGCTCCCTCCCCAATGGTTGTTCCCCCTACGGGTTCATTTATATTCCCCCTCTTTAATCCATTTAGGTTTTGGCCCCCTCACGAAAATTTCCTAACTCCACCCTTGCTTGATTATCTCCGATCAAGCATTGACATGTATTAGTGACAATGTTGTAGCTGGGAACAATATCAACACAGACTGAGGTACCATTGGCCAGCTTCAATGAGAGCTGCCGTTTAGAGGCTGATATCTGATACCAGTTCGAACTGGGGCCACCGCAATCGTTTCCGAGCATAACTCCATTGCCCACCCCATCAGCTTGTAGGCAGTATCGCTTTCCATTATTCAACATCAAAGTCTTCTGTGGTGTGTAGATCTAAGCTTTGGCCGCAGTGCAGGAACCTAACTTCATTGGTTCCATCGGTGAAACTTTTTGCACGCAAAGGCCCGTCAATGGATGGTACAGTATGGCTCAGTTTGGAAGGAGTACAGATGCAAATATGTAAAGTGCAAAACCTTATGTTTTGTACTATTTTCTTTGTATTTGCATCGTAGTATTTGTACTTTTTCTATACTGAGCTATGTTTTACGGCCTAACATCAGAAAAACCAGGCCCTCGGAAAGGAGACTAGATACTGATGGAGGGTGATTTGGCCCGACCTCGTAGCATGGGGACACGTGGGTACAACCTGGCACAAGTGACAGGTCAGCATGGCAGCCTGGCCATAACTTGGTGTACTGAACTCGCCAGATCCCAGCAATGCAGCTCAGCGGATGTAGCAGTTCTCCAAGAAGAAAGATCTAGCATACTCAGAATTCTCCCTAAGGGAGGAGGACTTCCGAGCTCCTCCCGAGACCCAAACTCCCCCCGGTGGGCCCCGAACTCTTCCTTCCTGAAAAGGGAACACCCCAGTCTACGGGAAGTACCCTGAAGTGGGGACACTTCGGGATAGCCCCATTAACGCTCCTGCCCATATTTGCTTAAGGCTTGACTCGAGCACTCGCACCTTAGCTACCCCGGCACCCCGGTGTAGGGTAGCTCGGACCAAGGCAGCTCGGTGCAAAGTAGCTCGACAACCTACATAAAAGATTTTCCTGACAATAGTACTTGCCAAATCCGGAGGCTGTGCCCACGTTTCTTGTCAGGCAGCGTCGTGCCTGCCACTTCTGCCAGATGTGGCACGCCTGACAAGTCCGTACCCTGCAACGGCTGCCCACATCCGCCACCTCGGCTCTGGCAGTAATGGCTGTGGCAGAGTCGATTACACCTGATTTGAGAGATCTCCAATATAAAAGACCCCGGACCCTCGAGGAGAAAGGTATTGAAGCTAGCGCAATCAACACTCTTAGTTTTCTCTCTGCATTTCCTCAAGTTTTCTCAGAATTTTAACTTAAGCATCGGAGTGTTCCCGCAGAGAGAGCTACCCGGGAATTCTTCGCGTTCGTCTTCGTCTCAAGTGCCGTCAATCACAGCTAGAATCCAGGTTCCAGCCAGCTAGGAGTGCCCGGATCGCACAACATCATTTGGCGCTGTTTGTGGGAAGCACTTCAAAAGGCCTTCCTCTAACTTCTGTGTAACTTTCTCCAAAGAACTCATCAACACCATCAGCACTCATGGCTTCCTCCAGCAACGCCGGACGCCGAAACGCCTCTGAGGAACAACCCCAGCTTCCCACTGTTTGCATCAGACAGTTCACCGTCCCCCTCTATGCGGACAGAGTTCCCAGTCTGAATGTGCCTCAGATAGTGGCACCCGTGACTGTTCCACTTCCCCCTACGGTCGGAACAACCTTCGCTGAACCCACCATCCCCCCTCCAGTGGCCAGCCAAGGTCAGCTTGAGGATCTGATGCAGTGCATGCGAGCCATGTAGGCTCAGAGGCAACAGTTCCAGCAACTTCATCTTTATCAGCAGCAAGTGCTGCACCAAGTTTCCCAATACCAGTATCAGCAACAATTTCCTTCACTCCCCCCTCGGCATCCAGCCACACAGCAAACTAGGCCCCGCCGCCGGAACGAACTTCCTTCCCGCCGGAGAGATACCTCGATATCGTCTCACGGGAGAAAGGAGTGACCACCTACCCCCGCCTCACAACCTGCAATCAGGTCGGGGGCTTCCCAGCCAGTTAGGCCCGCGTCGCCTCAACGTTTGCAGTTCGAGCTCCCACTTGTCGAAAACTGGTTCGAGGTGCTGGCCGTCGACCTTGGACAAGGTCCCTTAGTTCGCAGCTACCAACAGTAGTCCAAGCCTTTCCCTGGGCCCATCAAGCTCGGTAATACCGAAGCCAGCAGCACCAACGCTGAGCTGGCTAAGAGGCAGCGGAGACATCGTCGAGCTCGCCGAGCTACCACCCACGATCTGCCCGAACTCAAAGGCAAGGAAGAGGTAAGCTCGGGCGAGGCAAAAGCTACTCCGCTTCTTTCAGTTCCTTCCCCTCTGTCACCAGAACTCCTTGCTGTCCCCATGCCAAGGGACTTCAAGCTCCCCCCACTAGACAAGTATGATGGATCCTTCGATCCGAACGATCACATGGACGCCTTTCAGTCCCAGATGCACCTGGCAAGAGCCAGTGAATATTGCATGTGCGTGGCCTTCTCCATCACCTTCAAGGGGTAGCCCGCACCTGGTACCAAAACCTCGCGCCCGGTTCGATAAGAAGCTGGGCGCAGTTCGTTCAAGTCTTTACCTCCCACTTTGTCACCAGCAAGAGGTGGCCAAGAACTTAAGAGAGCCTCCTTAGCATAGTTCAGAAGGAAGGGGAGTCCATCCGAAGTTACATCAAGCGGTTCAATGACGCTTGCTTACAAATACCCGACTTGGACCCCGCAGTTCGGCTCACTGCGGCCAAGCGAGGCATCACCCACAAAGAGTTCAAGTGGCACGTGGTTGTCAATCAGCCGAAGACCGTGACCGAGTTCCTCAAGCTCGTAGATCAGTTCATAGGGACGGAAGAAGAGATCCACCAGAAGGGTGAGCAGGCCCTTGAGAAAAGAAAGAGGGAACCAGAGCCCCCAGCTTAGGGCGACAGCAAGAAGAAGAAGGACCAAGCTCGGGGGGGGCAAAACCAAATCAGCCTTTCCGAGCTCCAGCAGCAGAAAGGGACTACACACCCATCAA